CAGGAATGAAATCCAGTGCCCCCATATAAATGGAACAAGACTTGAATCTATAGTATTTTCCTTAACAGCTTCATTCTCAGTAGCTGAGCACAGCCTAACAGGTTTTTTTTAGAAGCTTTTGAGGAAACTTTGATGTTTTTTTCTTTGCCTTCAGAAACCAAGACATATTGTATACTATAAGTTTTGCTTGACAAAAAAGCAAAATTTTTTGTTGTTGGTTTTTTTGTTTTTTGAGGGGTTTTTTTTATAGATTTAAAAATGTTATTGAACTTAGTTTTTGCTCACTTTGGAAGTATAGACCCCTCCCAATCCTTTCCTTCTCTTCCCTGTACACACAGCTGAAAATGCCCCTTGAAGTGGATTTCATGCATCTATAAAATAGCATTTAGTTCATTCTCACAAAGAATGGCCTGATGCTTGTAAGTATGGGGCAAAATGCAAACTTTAGGTAAAAAAAAAAACAAAAAAACCTATGTCTGAGAGAGCTTTAAGGGGAGGAGCAGTATTACTGAAATTCGCCTCTTATTTATTATGAGCAATATTTTATTATTGAATTTTTATACTAAAGAAAAATTACTATTTTAGGTACTTTTCCAGATCTCTTTATAAAATGTCTGAATGATTTTGTGTAATGTTTATGCCTTGTATATGATTGTTTACCCTTTTTCAGGTCAGTATCTTTTCAGGATACAATTTTTTTTAAAAAAAAGGATCTTGTTTCCCAAAGAGATTTATTTCGCTTTTTTTTTTTTTTTTAAATGTGAGGGTGCATAACTTTTTTCATTTTTGAGTAAATTTCCAATTGAAGAATTTAACTTCATCAGGCATGCATTGTATCTTGTAGAATAAACTTAAGCACAGCACCTCCTTTTTCCCCCTAAAGTATTCCATTTTAGTTTTTAATGTGTGGAAAGTGGAGTTGTTTTGTACATGTGAAAATATTTTTCCATGCTTAATAAAAGTATATGGCTTCAGAAAAATGAAATAAACCCATAATACCTCATTACTCTTTCAATGGTCTTGATATTACTTTTCTAAACTTAGAACTTGAGGAGACAGCCTAACAAGTTAGGATATAAACTACTGAAAGTTTGGGGGGGGTTTTGAGCACCAACAGTACTTTTATATTTCCCTGCCTCTTTAATATTAAATATTGGAAATCTACTACAGTGAGAAATACAAGTGTTCCCTCCTTTGCAGAAACTTAGCTAGCAAAAAAGTTTATAGCAAAGACCTTCTTGGTGTTACCTTGACATAAATAAACTGCCCACAGCACCACATAAATAAAATGGCACTGTGTTCAAAAAGCAATATGAAGGGAAACACTTCAGAAGAAGTTTGAAGTTCTAAGGGAACAATATTCTATTCTAGTATTAGCATACTGAATACTTGTTTAACATTTCTTGAAAATTTATAGCAGTTTCCAGAAATTTGGTCAGGTATGTGGGAAATTTATTACCGTAAACTGTCACTACAGAAAAGCGACACGATTAAAAGAGACTAACAAACTGTACTTCACTAATTTAGTTTACAAACATTTTAATTTTTGTAGTAAAGGTCTCTAACAGAGAGGCTACATGTAGACAGATACAAAAAGTAAGACTGAATTTAAATGGGTAACTACAGTGACACTGGCATTAAATGTTAAAAGTAACAAATGGCATAAAATTCATCATAATATTCAGTTTGGGTTTTGACACTGCCATCCTCACTATGGTATCTTGAAGCACCTGCCAATAACACCTTCAGTAATAAATGATTTTACTTCGTGATACATGTGAAAAGATCCATAGCTTTAAATTGCTTACTTGCAAAATAAGGTCTAAAAATAAATTCTATTCACTAATCCAGGATTAACGCACATTCCCTGACAAGTTTAGATAATCTCTGTAAGCAAGGGTAACTTTAATTCCTATGAATACAATATTAACATAACAACAAATATGCAGAGATTTGGCAAAAGGCTCTTTCATAGTGTACTGATAGCCTTAACAGTGCTTGCATCAGAAATGTTGATTCTAGCCTGCCTGTGCGTAAACAGTTCTGAGATGCCTTTGTATAACTTGGAGCAACTACTCAGAAGTTAACTTTGCTTTCACTTTTCCTTCCTTCTCCTCTGGCCAGTGGCCAATCCAGTGCAATCAATAGACTTTTTTTTCTTTTACTTTCAAGTGGTCCATTGATTCTTCTGAGAACTGCACTGCTTCTGTATTTGATATAGTGCCAAGGGTTGTGCCAAAACCCTGAGAGAAGCAACTTGATTTTCATCTGTTCTCTAACATATAGCCCAGTTTGTATGATGATGATAAAAGTGTATCATGTCTCAAAGTAACCTTTAACCTTCATTTATGTATTTATTCCCTTGATTCCAGTGAATCTTTTTGCAACACTTGAAAGTGAATGTGTGAATCCCAGCTGCAGTAGTTTGGCTTTCCTTTCCTTGTACTTGGTAGCTTTATGCGCTGCTCACAGCCTTCCTGTTGTGCCCACAAATACTAAGAGTAGATGGCACCAGTGAAGAACATGGTCCTCTCTCTTCCCTATCTGCCTGCCTTCCCTCTAAAATGTACCAAACTATTCCTCCCTCCATCCCCCAACAAATGATGCTGAATTCCAAAGAACCGTAACAAAAAAAAACCAAAATGCCTTCAGTCACCATGTAAGGGTGCCCTTTGGCTGTGCCCAGGCCTGTACCCACCCACCCAGAAGGCTTCATGAGGCCCATTGGTTGGCAGGGTTCTTCTCCCTTCTTTAAATGGCTGTAATGATAGCTGGGCTGGAAGGGACAGGATTTTGGGGGAACAGGAGTGGATAGCCTGCTGTCTTCTCACCATGCTCCTGTAATCCCCCCTCTCTGGATTTAAGGAAGGACCTCTGTTTTTACAAGGAGCAGTATGGTAATGAGTGGTCACGTACAAATCATAGTTGTACTTGTACTGTTTGAATTAGATCCACCAGCAGCTTTGTTGGTTTGAACATATATGGAAATGAAATATCCTGAACCTTCAATATCCAGTGGTGACAAGTTACTAGAGATCACCTCAATCTTTAAAACACACATCAGACTAAATACAGCGACAGGAGCCAGGACTAGCAGATCCTGGTTTCTTGAAAGATACAGGGGAAGTAGGGATCCCCCTATTCTCATTTCTCCTGATCTCTCTATTCCTTTTTCCTCTCCCTTATTCATACTTACTTTCTCATATCTTACATTGCACTGAAATTAGGATACAGATATATACAGCAGTGCAGACAGGACACTTACTGTGATTAATCAATGATTGTGACACACTCACAGCTTCCCTACTTTGTGCCTAGTTTTAGTTACCATGTTGGATAGTGAAGGTAATGCCCAGTACTAAGTCTGGGTCTGTGCAACCACTCAACTTGCTAATTTTTTGGGAAGCTACAGACTGCTAGTCTTCCTCTCCTTCCCATCACATATATAAATATATTTATGTAATGCTGATACCTATTAGTATATCAATTTATTTGTTATCAGAGTGGAGCGTTTCATGTTTTATATTGTAACAAGGCCTAGTAGTAAGGTATCCATCCAACCTTGCCAGAAATCTTGGTCAGCTATAGATCTTATTTTTTATTTATTTAAAATTGTGTGTATATTTTCTCCTCTGTCTTTCTCTATAGCCATTTTCCCCCTTGGTTACTGTTCTGAAGGGAAGTGGCAAGGAGATGTTAGTCCCAGACATACCAGGTAGATTCTGTATCAAGAATTCCAACCAGACACAACTACCCTTTGAAACCATGTTTAAACAAGTGACAATGGGGGAGGCACAGCAAGAGAGACCTGACTGTAGGTGTATACTACAGGCCACATAACCAAGGGGAGGGCCTTGATCTAGCATTCGCTTGTGAACTAACAGAGGCTGCACGTGTATGGGACATGGTTGTCATGGGTGACTTCAACTACCCAGACATCTCCTGGGAGGAGTGCTCAGCCAGCTTGGATCAATCACTGTCCTTCCTGACCAGCACTGAAGAGCTTTTTTTGACTCAGTATGTGCACAGGCCAACTAGAGGCAATGCAGTTCTTGACCTGGTCCTAGCCAAAGGGGATGACCTGGTGACCAACTTAAACATAGAGGGCACCCTAGGCGATAAGTGACCATGAAATCATTAAGTTCACAGTCTGTCGCAAGGCTGACAAAACAGATACCAAGCTCAAAGTCTTAGACTTCAAAAACGCAAATCTTAATCAGCTCAGGCCACTAGTAGAAAATGCCCTGGTAGACCAAGGACCACAGGTAAAGGGAGCATGAGAAGAATGGTCATTCCTTAAGGACACAATTCTTAAGGCTCAGAGAAAATCCATTCTCTTACAGAGAAAAAGTAGCAAAAGGATCAAAAACCCCTCTTGGCTATGCAGGGAAGTTGCAGCCCTCCTACAGAAAAAGAGGCATACAAACAATGGAAGCTTGGGACAGCTTCTAAGGAAGACTACTTGGCAATGGCCCGCACTTGTAGGAACCAGATTAAGCAAGCTAAGGCAGAAACCAGACTAAAACTAGCTACAAGAATCAAAGACAACAAGAAGTCCTCCTTTAGATGCATAGGGAGTAAATGGAAAACTAACAGGAATGTGGGGCCACTGCTCAATGCCTCAGGATACCTGGTCGCTACCACTCAGGAAAAAACGGAACTACTAAACGACTACATTGCCTTGGTCTTTCACAAGACCAAGGGGAACAACATGCCAGGTAGGGCACAGAACGAGTAGGGAGGGACTGACACTGTTCCCACCATTGCCATAGAACTGGTGTAGGATCAATTAAAGAAATTAGACGTATATAAATCAGCAGGACTGGATGAACTCCACCCAGGAGTGCTGCAAGAGTTGGCTGAAGTAATCACATAGCCCCTGGCAAAGGTCCTTCAAAAATGGGCCTCTGGAGAAATCCCAAAGGACCGAAAGAGGGCCAATGTTGTGCCCATCTTCAGGAAGGGGAAGCGTGAGGACCCAGGAAACTGCAGGCCAATTAGCTTAACTTCTATTCCAGGGAAAATCCTAGAAACATTCATCAAAGAAGCTATGTGTAACAAACTTGCAGAAGGCATGATACAGAATGACAGCCAGCATGGCTTCCTCGTGGGCAGGTCTTGTCTGACCAACTTCATTTCTTTCTATGATCAGGTGACTCATCACCTGGACAAGAGAAAAGCACTTGACATCATAGCCTTTGACCTGGTATCCCATGAGGTACTGTTCAGAAAACGAAGATATTGGGCTCAACTGCGGGACCGTCAAGTGGGTACGAAACTGGTTGTGGAGTAGGACACAGAGGGTGCATCCACACATGCAAGCATGTGTGCTTGCAGCAGCTCAAATAGAAGCGGTAGAAATTTGAGCCGGGGCTTTTTGCTTCACTGCACGTGCTTGGACATGCACTTTGGTGTAGAGCAAATTGTGCCACTTGGGGCAAAATAACCCTGCCTGGCTTCTCCCAGATCTGCAGTCGGGGAGCTAGAGCCCGGGGCCAGCACCTGTGCTGTCCCCAGCAGTATAAAAAGCTGTCCTGTCCTGGCCTCAGCAGTATAAAAGACCGCCCTGGCAAGGAGCTTAGGGCTGCTAGCTCTCAGGAGCTTCTGGGGCCCAGCTAATTGGTACCTGGGGACACTACCTCTTGTGCCAGCTGGACTGCTGAAGCAGCCATGAGAGTTCCCTGCACCCTCTACCCACTGCAGCAGTGTGGCAGTGGGAGGTGCTGCCTAGCTGTGACCTGTTGTGCACCTGCCAGACCCAGATGGGGACTGCACAGCCAGTAGAGGCATCTGCCCCTCTGGGCCAGCTGCCAGTGGACTGCGGTTGCAGGGTTGGCCTCTGTGCAGCACTACTGCTGTGTGCCCCCTGCCCGGCCATCTGGGCAGCTATTGCCTGGAAGATGTTCCAGGTGTGATGGCCTGCTTTGAATTGTCAAGCATGTCCTCCTGGCTCCATTTGGGCAGGAGGTCAGCCCCAGCCAGCTGGATCCAAGGTGCCAGCTCTGAGCAGGCAGGGTCCTGTCACTGGCGTTCCTAGCAGGAATTCTGGTGTTCCCTATTGGAAAACTGAAAAATCCCTGATAAAAAAATCCCAAAGTCACTCTGTAAAATACCCCCAAATCCATGTTCCTCCACAAGTAAAACGAAAGGCCACTATAAAGAGAGAGTGAGACAGAGACAGCAATCACTTGGACAATGTTTTATTGATATATGTACAGTGTTAAAGCAAGTCTAATAATAAAGTGAACTCTAAATACATGTTTCATGAATTCATGAATACATATTTTGCTGCCCTCCCACAGGGCGATGGCCCCCACACAAGGTGTTCGCCCCCCCCATCCCCCAACAGGAGGTTCAGCTCCTACTCAAAGGGTTTGGCCCCTACACAAGGGGTTTGGTCCCCCACACAAGGGGTTTGACCCCCCCCAACAGGGGCCAAATCGCCCCTGCAGGGGCTACTCCCTCCCACAAGGCCCATATGCCTCCCCCCAGCCCCGCCATTCGTCGCCCACCCG